GCCTTCCTTGATGTAATTTTAGCCTCTAAAATCCCTGGGAATTTTCACGGCCGAACTGATGATGTCAAGGTCAACGTTAAATTACGGTGCATGAAATGTGAAATTGTCAGGGCTATTTCACAAACTGTAATCACTCATGATAAGTACTGTATGCCTTAATAATGTACGCCCTAATACTAGGAGCTAGGGAGCTGGGAGATTGGGTATGTAGTGGCTAGCTCCACGCGAACGCTCACTTATGAACGCTCCCTGATTATGGCTTCTGGGACAGCCAATCACAGGTGGTGCACAGTTTGCGAGAACGTGGCGGTCAATTACACGCCTGCAGTCTGGTCATTCACCTTTAAGGCCACTGGGCTGAATGCTGCCAGGCCCGCACTCCAAATGCCGCCCCGCTAGGGAACGGACTGCACTCGTCCGGCAGCCAATTTCCTTCTACCTATTCTCCCACTGCTTCTGTACAGAATAAATTGTTCCTACCATTCTAGTGTCCCATCTCTGCTTCTTCACCAAACGAACCAGGCCTGGAAGATCGTAGTGACAGGGGTTAAGCTTACTAATCACAACACCACTTGATAAGTACTTTTATCCGATATACATGACCTATTGCCGCGAGAAAGCGGTCTATTTTTTAATTTTTAAAAATACGGCGTCTGCTAGGTAACACGTCAGCTGCACCGTCTCGTGGGTGTGTCGGCGCCACTGAAGGGATTTTCCGAGACGCCTGTGAGTCAGACATGTGATTGGTTGACTGTGTGCTGAGTGGGGACCCAAGCGTAGTAGGCCTAGCGGGTGGACGCTGTCCTGATGCAGGTGAAGCCAATGCCATTACCTACAAGGGTTGTCCGTTTTCTCGGCAGTCAACGGTCAGCTAGAGGCTGGAGAATAGATATTATTCAACCTTTTCCGGGGAAAAGTAAATTATAATAGCCAGACTTGAATTCCTATCACTTTCGTTTGTTTTTTTTTTTACCATGGATGCTCACTTAATTCGAAGAGCTAATGGTAGCATCCGAAGGAGCGTTTATCGAAGTAAACTTTTTCTGAAAAATATATACGGCCTTTAGACGCTTCGTACCTATCCAACAGAAACGCAATCTTTTCAGCCGCTTAGCTCAAATGGCTGGAAAATTTTACCCAGCAGGCAGTATTGCTTTGGAGCTTAAGAGAATCCAGGAACTGCTTTTTGAGAACTGATATCTTGAGAGAGTCATCCCAACGAATATAGTGGCGAAACAAATAACACCCACCATACCTACTGCATTAAGGAAGACGCAATTCGTCAAAGTTCCTTTCAATGGAATGCGGCAAATGAACTAAGGAGACGCCTTGACCAACCCATGTCACAAACCTTCCCATCATCGAGAGTTAGGACATTATTCTCAAACACGGGGAAGGTAAGGATAGGTTGCCATCTCAGAAAACGTGTATGTGCATCCTAATTGATCCACTGGAGCAGGTTATATAAATCGTACCAGTAGGCGCTTATCCAAAAGATCATAAACAGCATAATTCGCGTCCACACTGTTGATTCCGGACATCGTGTGAACCCCACCGAAGCCTTTCGGGCGATTTATAAGGTCCCACCAAACTAACCGAAGCGCCTGGGTCAGCGATCGCCAGCAACTACAGGAACAACCGCTGTAAGGCTGAGGAAGCCAGTCTTTTGAGCACAA